TTATTATTATTTTTTTTTTTTTTTTTTTTTGAAAATGTCATTTGCTACAAACTAGAAAGGTGGGGGAACCATATTGTTGCATTGTGAATAGGTTATGGGGATCTCCCAGTGCTGTTTTTCCCTATAGTTTTGGACAATGTATTACCGGAAACCTACAAGATAAAGAAGAGAGAGAGATTGAACTGGAAAAGTGCTAATATAGTACTCACCGTAGCAGCACGTCTTTCACTAAAGTATTTGCATTTCTGTAACTCCTTGTAGAGTTCCCCTTTTGCAGCATACTCTAGGATCAAATAAACCCGTTTCTGCATTCATTTTGTTAAAAATATTTACATGAAGTTCTCCTTCAACCATAAACCAAACAAGATGTACCATACCTGATCATAGAAGTAACCATAGAGTCGTAGAATGTTGGGATGCCGAAGATGGCTCTGTATTTCAACTTCCCGGCGAAGCTGATGCTCAACCTGAGACTGTTTTAGCTGGCTCTTAAACAACACCTTCAGTGCCACAAGATGATTGCTCTACTTGTAGGAAAGACAAAGATTTCCACAGTTACGAACTAATGATTAGCACTTTCCACCAGATATTAAAATTTGATCTTAATGAGATGGTGGCTTTGCTAGAACAGGCAATCCTTTTTAGTAAATGATGCACAAATATGCTACACTACAGCAAATACTCTAAATATGCCCTCGCAATCAGATCTCATTTCCATTACGCAAATAGAATTAATATCAACAAATATCAAGCATTCATTGCCACTTACCCATTTTTAATTGCATTACTAGTCACTGTGTTTAGCTTCCTAAAGGATGATATTAGAATCAGTTACTGTAAAAGACAATTAAAATGTTCCCTTGTATAACAACTTAAATAAGTGATTGGACACAATATGAGTGTATGACAACAGGTAGAGAGACCTTGGGTTCAAATATTGCTACTATCCATAAAGAAAATTGTGCAACTATCAGGATTTTAATTAAAAAAAAAAAGAAAAAAGAATCCAGTCAGCATGTGATGGGGTATGTAAATTTAAAAAATAAACGTGGTCTTTGGTCGCTCTATAATTGTTTTAAGATTTTAAATGAAGTGGCTCTACTGAGGCTTCATGCTGGTTACTAGCTATTATATCAAAACACTAATTTTGCAAAACTGCTATGTCAAAGAAGATTTTGGCCTTTCTCCTGGTGTAATGCCATGTTGTGTCATACAGCCTCTTTTTATACCAAAATTTAAAAAGACTTGTGCATTTGGTAATTTCTAGAATAGGGCTTCTCTCTCTGAAGTTGAAATCTAAAACTTGATTGCTCAATAATCAATAATATAGATTTTTGTTTGCGATAGACAGTGTGTAAATCCATTCTAACTTATAGCATTAGAGCATCTCTAGGAGGTGCTTTAAACATAAGATGCTCTCTATTTTGAAGAGTCAACATTTAAAATCATGTTTCAAGAGACTCGTTAAATTAACATTTTAATTTAGAGAGCGGGTTGAAAAGCTAAACTCACTCTATATAATTAAATGCATTCAAAGTTTTTCAATTTTCAATGCAGAAAAGTAATAAAATAATCTAAAGAAAATCTAGTTAAAATAAAAAATATAGAAGAATAATAAATATTTTTTTGCGAGTAGTAAAATTAAGTAAATATAAAGAGTTTGTTGGAATATTTCAAAATTTTAACTCCTTAAAATTGATAAATGCTATCCAAATGATAAAATATGCTCTTTAAAAATAGAAAATCTCTTAGAGATACTCTTATTGTACTTAAATCAAGTAACTTAGCCCCCGTTTGGCCCCCATTAGTTGGATTTTATAATGGTGGAATAGTATTTTTTTTGAAAATTGTGTGGTTAAAAAGTTTTCGATTTGAGTGTATTATCATTTTATTGAAAATTGTGTGGTTGAAAGTAGGAGAGAGAAAAATTTAAAATAAATTGAAGAGTCAAGTTCCATGGATGAGAAAACAATAGAATCATGAAGTAAATAAAAAAGGAAGGAAGAGAACTAACCCTCTTTTCCCTTGCAAGATATACATGTCCAAACTTTCCTCTACCAAGAGGCTTTCCTATGTCGAAATCATTGAGTGTCCACCTTTTTTTTTCTGCTGCCACGCTTTCTGAAGAAGCCTAAAATAATAATATATCATGAATGGTTATATTAAACACAATTTAATGTCTTTCTTTTTTCCTTCACAGCAAATAATTTTCTTTTCTACAAGGGATTTTGATGTCTTCCTAGAGGATTGTGGGTCTCTTTTTTAGTTTCTATTTGTGGAGCACAAGCTCCTCAAAAAACACATCAATTTATGGTAAATACAAAAATCGAAATAACTTAGGATTATCAAAATAAAGATTTGGTAAAATAAGAGAAACTTTTAACAGTGTCGCGTTTCACCAAAAAATTATTTTCATAGCTTACTCTTTCAGCATCTTGGGATTTCATTAAATAAGAGTCTATATGACACGATACATACGAAACCTAAACCAGGAAACCATTCTTCGCAAATTCGAACCCCCACACCATAATTCAGAAAACCACATACTAAAGTAATTATTTTCATTCCCCCTTTCCCAAGATAATCTTTAGAGAACAAAAAGAAAAACAATTCATAAAACTTTTAAACAATTAATATTTCCTTCCAAACGCTTACCTACTCAAATCAAATTTTAATGTAACGCCTGCAACGATAACCCCAAAATCAAGAAACCCTAATTTTTATTAATGGCGGAAACACTTTTTTTCCATTTTCTAACTCACACGTTATCAAACCACCTCAGCAATTGCAAATAATCAAAATTAAAAAATTATATCGATCAGAAGGAAAAACAAAAGCACTACATCTTCATTTCTCCGAATCAAACATATTAAATAACCCTATATTCTTCAAATAATTCCCAAAAAAATAAAGTTTTTCCATACCGTTTGCTCTTGTTGAGTCTCCGCTGCGATCGCCATCTAACAGAGAGAGAGAGAGAGAGAGAGAGTGGCGTGTTTGAACTTTGAATGGGGAAAATAAGAGGTGATTTTTGGACTTCATTGCACTTTTGCAACGGTCATATTAGAACAGAAGTTGCCACGTGACGTGCTGTACCGTAGAATTCGTTTTTCAAAATTATTTATTATTTTATTATTTTGTTTTGAAGTTCGATTTTTTTTTAAAATTATTATTTCATTTTTGATTTAAGATAGTGTTTGGTGAGGATTTTGAGAATTAATATTTTGATCATTAGAGATAAAAGTAAATTTTACGTGCGAGAGAAAAATTAAAAAACGACGGCTGCAATAGTGAAATAACGAAAAAAAAATTGATTTTAATTGACTTAAAATTTTCACCAAACACTCCCTAAGTAACAAAATATAAATAATGATTTTATTTACATAACGAAAGTTTGAACATTTCTCATGATCTATTGAGTTTTACATTAAATAATAAATAAAAATAATTTATGTATCTTTCGTAAATTTTATAAACTCGAAAAGAACTTATCACGATAAGCAAGCAGTGAACTTTTGAATTTAAATTTTGACTAATGTAAAACTGAAATAAACTGAATCAATTTAAATTTGGACAATGCTACACGTACAGAATTTTTTTATTGAAGTTTTTACACATTATTCACAATAGAGTGGACATCATTCGGTACCCCCATTCAGTAGATATGGAATAATCCTTTAAATTTTGGATAGTGCATCTTGAAAATTCTACATTGACTATACCAATAGTTGTCGTGATTAGAGCCGAGATTTCTAAAATAAGTCCCATTTAGTTAAAATTTGATTAAAAGATAATTAAAATAAATATTTAGGTCATGTTTGAGCTGTATTTTTTCCAAAAAAAAAAAAAAAAAGGGTGCATTTTTCAATAGTGATTTAACATAATTTCAATCACATTTTTTAATAAAATAATATTACACGCAAATTCAAAACTTTTTCTCATTTTTTAATCACATATTTTTCATCAATCTATTATTCCAAAATACATTCTTTCAAAATAATGTTGTTCAAACACACTTAATTTTAACTACATATTTCATGGATTACTTTTCAACCACACACTCTTATTAAAATTTTCTCAAAATTTTGTTTGTTTGTCTAAATCAAATAGAGGATCGCATCGACATGAAAAATGAAAAAAATTGTATAAGTTATACGTTTCGTTACTACTTTGTGAAAAGAATTAAGCTACTTGTACATCCATTATATAAATGTTGGTTTAAACCTCATGTATCAAAAATCTTACCATTGATTGAAAAATGTATTGTTAAATTCAATGCATCAAAATATGTTAATTCACGTGGATATGAACCATGGTAGGACTAAACAAAACTCTCAAATCGAATTGAACTGTACCTGATTCGACCCGAGCGACCCGAACCTAATCGAGTGATTTTTCTTAAAATAAATAATAAATACCCGATTAGGTATCAAAATCGAGAACTAATAGGTTTGGTTTGGTTCTTGGTTCTAGATCAAGAATTAAAGAATCCTGATTTTTTTTAAAATTTTGAATAAACAAGTTTTTTTTTTAAATAAAATTGCTAACTAATTAATTTAGCTCAAACAATTAAAATATGATTTTCCTACTTCTAATTCTAATTCAAGCCCAACTTAATCAAAATGTTTTAAGTTTTACCCAAAATCTATTATTCTACTGTAATATCGTTTCTAATGTTTTGAAGAAATCAAATGAAGCTCGACTACACTTCTTTTAATTATTGTGAACTCACTATCTTTCTCTTTCTGTGATTTAACAATTAAATCTATGAAAAATTTAACAAAAAAATAACCAAAAGATACATAAGATTGAATTACTTTATTTTGTAAGAACTAAGATTGAATTGAAATATTGTAATTTTGTAAATATTAAAAAAATTAATTATAATACGAAACTCGAAAATCGAATAGAACAGAACCAAATAAAAACTGATTAATTTGCTAACTAATTAATTTAGGTCAAAATAAAAAATATGATTTTCCTATTTCTAATTCAAGTCCAACTTAATCAAAATGTTTTAAGTTTTTACCCAAAATCTGTTATTCTACTATAATATTGTTTCTGCTGTTTTGAAAAAATCGAATGAAGCTCAACTACGTCTCTTAATTATTGTATGTTCACTATCTTTCTCTTCCTGTAATTTAACAATAAAATCTATGAAAAACTCAATAAAGAAAGAATCAAAAGATACATAAGATTGGATTAAATTATTTAGTAATAACTAAAATTGAACATATCATTAGTTGAAATATCGTAGTTTTGTAAATATTAAGCGCCCGTTTGCCCCTCTTTAAAATTCTTCAATTTAATTTATTTTTCTCTCTCTCATACTTTCAATCACACAATTTTCAATAAAATAATATTACACTCAAATCGAAAACTTTTCAACCACACAATTTTCAAAAAAATACTATTCCCCCATTATAAATTCAAATAATGGGAGCCAAACAAGAGCTAAAATTTTTTAATTATAGTACGAAACTCGAAAACCAAATGAAACCGAACCAAATAAAACTGAATACGAATGGTTCTATAATTAAATTTAAACACAACGGTTCCACTTACTAAATACTCAAAAATTCGAGTCCAATACAGTTCTCTTTAGAATCGAAACATATTCGGCCTTAAATAATA